GCTCAGACACTTGGAATAGACTGATAGAGTCTCAAAATTGTGCTTGATAGAACTAAGTTTAAGTTGTTAGACTCTCTCTGAATAGGGCAACTCATTTCCCAAAGTACCCGAAGGCCAGACAAGGAATGATGGATGGAAATTGATCAAGGAGAGATTCAACCTAGAAATAAGGAGACATTTTCTGACAGTGAGAACAATCAACCAATGGAACAGAAGTTGCCTTCAGAAGTTGTGGAGCTTCACCACTGGAAGCTTCCAAGAAGAGACTGGACTGCCATCTGTCAGAAATGGTGTAGGATCTCCTGCTTGGGTGGAGGGTTGGATTAGATGACCTACAAGGTCCATTCCAACTCTGCTCTGCTCTGCTCTGCTCTGCTCTGCTCTGCTCTGCTCTGCTCTGCTCTGCTCTGCTATTCTCCTCTCCTCTCCTCTCCTCTCCTCTCCTCTCCTCTCCTCTCCTCTCCTCTCCTCTATTCTCCTCTCCTCTACTACTCTACTCTACTCTACTCTACTCTACTCTACTCTACTCTACTCTACTCTACTCTACTCTACTCTACTCTATTGGTGTTGTGGGCTTATTTAAGCAGCGATTGGACAAAAAGTTAAAAAAAATTGTTGTACCAAGAATCCCTAGTTTAAAAACTCAAAACAATAAAGTTGCTTTCCATAATATTGGCATACTGAATAGATGAGTAATTATAAATGTATTTTTCAGATTGAAAAATATTTACTTATTAAAATGCCCAAGTACAGTATGTTAGGAGGGTATTTGCCCATATGAGATTTGAATAGCCAGGCACCATGATAAAAGAGGAAAGATTTAATCAAATTCCTTTTTTTTTTTTTTGAACATATATATGATGCAGCAGAGACCGAGGCATTAGCTCATGTATTGACTGCCTGTCTGGCACAGAACAATATCTTGAATCATGGCTATGACGAATAGTTCAGAAACATATGCATCTCAGAAGAACCTCATAAGAGTTCTTCTGTTTGGCTCTTTCACTTAGTTGTGTCTTTGCTCTCAGCTTGACAACAACTGGGAGAGGGATGGTTGGAATGTCGGGGTGGGAATGGAATGCCAAGACTCCCTCTGCTGACCGTGAGACCCTGCCACCACCTTCAAGGCCATGCCGTAAAAGTGTTTGAACGATCCGGACTGTTCCCATAACAAAAGAAGCGGATGTAACTGAACAACACAATGGACTGAGAGGGATGGCCAAAGGGAAGAAGCAAATTGAAGTATGTGAGCGTTTGTGTGCGAGAAAACCAGAGCTGGTTTCATTTCTTCTGTGCCAATGTAGCATATTCAATAAAGTTATACTTTTGGGAAGCACAAGGTCCCAGGAGTTCCTTTTCTGGATTCTCTAGTTGGACAGCTGACAACGACCACAATTAAGCCCAAAATTTCTGTTGCTAAGCAAGATAGTTGTTAAGAACTATCTCCATTTTATGACCTTTCTTGCCTTAGTTAGTAACAGGAACAGAGTTGAAAGGGACCTTGGAGGTCATCTAGTCCAACTCCCCTGCTCATACAGGAGACCTATATGAGGGATTCGAACTGCTGATTGGAGAGGAGACCTTTAGTATATTATATATCTCCCACCATACTAGCATTAAAGATACTTTACTGAAATCTGTGTAGTTCTCAAATCCTTGATTCCATCTAGTTTCATGGGGCTTGGCACCAGTCTCTTCAATTGTAAAAGAAATTTCTCCTCTCATTTATAGCAAGTTAATTATGGCAAATCATTCAAAAAGATTTGCTACTTGGCTTGAGCCACCTTTTCTGAAACAATAATGCCAATAATCCATCTTCTATGCCTGGAGTTTTGTATCTATTTTGCCTTCCAGTCTTTTCCAAGCTCACTGTTGTAGCCCGTACGCGGTCTGTGTGGCTGGTGGCTGATTCGGACAGTGAGGAGGCTGGTGTGGTGCTGTGCCAGCAGCCTGTGCAACTGGCGCTCGAGTCGGACAGTGAGGAGGCTGGAGAAGATGTGATGCCGGAGGCGAGGATTCAGCCAGGGCCTTCAGAACCTCCAGAAGCTCCCTTAAGCGAAGAGGACGAAGAGGAGGAGCCTCTTCTCGATGCACGGACGCGCATAGCTGCCAAAAGGCAGGAGTGGCTCCTCAGGAGGAGGTCTCCTTGAGAGTAAGGCTTGGGGCTAATTGGCCACTCCCTTAGCTTATTTAAGGAGGAATGCCGACTGAAGCAATTTGCAGGGAACAACTTCATTCACACTCCTTCATGCCTTGATCTTAGTTCTTTGCAAATTGCTTCTGGGCTTTCTGCCAACCATAGTAAAATTAAGATTATTTATTCTTTGGATTCTTGTAGGCTGTTAAGAAAGTTAATTAACAGCCTTTGTTTGGAAAAAAATAACTTATTTAATTTAGTAAACTAAGATTTGTACAGACTTTGTACAGCTGCGTTCTTTGGGGTCCGTAGCTGAGGCAGAACACTCACCCACAATCTCCCATCACAATACTGTGTATGGAAAAAGCTCCTTTTATTTAAGAGTGAATACTTTGCATCTATTGGTTAGCACAAGAGAGTTTAGGAAATGAACCAGTTGCTGCGCCTCCATAAAACCTATGTGATTTTGTGATGTGTGAGTGTGACTTTGTGTCTGCCCAAGATGCAATAATAAATTATATGTAAATTGTGGGAAGTTCATGTATTATGTGGATATATAGTGAGTGAATCGCTGCTGTTGTTAAGTTAGCTACATGGTTGTTAAGTGAGTTAAGTGGGTTGTTAAGTGAGTTGTTAAAGCGATGTGGCTTCTCCGTTGACTTTGCCTGCCAAAAGGTCGCAAAAAGATCATATGACCCTGAGATACTGCAACCGTCATAAATATGAGTCAGTTGCCAAGCATCGAAATTTTGATCACATGATCATGGGGATGCTGCAATGATTGTATGTGTGAAAAAAGGTCACAAGGAATGTTGCAACTTCCAATGATCACTAAACTGTTGTAAGTGGAGAATTACCATATTTTTTGGAGTATAAGATGCACCGGACTATAAGACACAACTACCTTTTTTGGAGAGGAAAACAAGAAAAAGAAATCTGCCTCTGCCTCAAAGCAATTTTGCCTCATTGCAGCAAACAGCAAACAGTCTGCTTTACTTTCATTTTCGTTTTCAGCATAGCTTGATTAGCACAAGGGAAAAAAAAGAATCTGCTCCAGCAATTTACCTCCTTGCAGCAAGCAGCAGAGACTCATGCAAAACAGCTGAGAGCAAAACAGCTGAGAGTCAGGAGGCCGATCCAATCAACTTGTGCTAATTAGGCTATGCTGAAGCTAAAAGGAGCTGTTTCTTCTTGCTGCTTGCTGCAGGGAGGTAAATTGCTGGGAGGCAGAGGCCAAAGGGTGGGTGCTAGTGGGTGGCTGGGGCCACAATCGGTGTATAAGATGCACCTAAATTTTCACCCCCTTTCAGGGGGGAAAAAGATGCGTCTTATACCTCGAAAAATACGGTACCTGTATTTTATGTGTGGTTAGGACTTAGGGATATCACATATAAAATGGCCTTCTTTCTGAAACACAGTGCAAATTTGACTGGGGCAAATTGTAAGGATGATACCACTAGATGGGCTAAGTATTTGTTTTTATACTGGGTTATTTCCTTCACTCTTTTGTATTTTGATTTGGCCTTATAAATACAGGGCGGCTGCTTCTACTACTACTACGGCTATTTAAATAGAAATAAATTTTAAGACAGGAATGCAATGCTTCCAGTTCTAACACTTCTACATCAGGGCCCTAGAAAATTATATGATATATATTTTTGAGTTGAAATGCACACATACACACTCTCTCACACACACAATAAATGTGTGAAGAAAAATGATTGTGTGAAGAAAAATGATTGTGGTTTGAGTCTTTTGGTTTTTTTGAGTCAGAGGGATTCAGTTAATGTCAAGCAAGATTGGTCTCCATTTCTATCCATCGCTGATGCTAGTATTTGCTCCTTTTTACACGTTATTTTAATTTCAAAATGTGGCTTCGCTTTTGACTCCAGGTGGTTTGCTCAGAATGCAAAAAAACAATCAACAGTGTCCAATGCAATTTCCTTGTGTGGGTTTTTTTTTTTTTTTTTTTGATGGGTACATGTTAGCTTTGTACAACTACTGGTTCTTCTGAACCAGGGTATTTCATTTCCCTGAAAGTCAAGAATGGGCTAAACATAGCCTTCCTCTCTTGCCAGGTGACTAATTTTGGATTTATTAACTCTAATCGAGAGGAAATAGCCAGGAAGCGGGCTAACAGCCAGCACCAGCTTGGAAATCTCGTTTTCTGCTTTTGGTAAGAAGCAACGGTGTGACTTGGACCTCAGGGTTGTATAAATTCAATTGGTGTGGGTGGGGGGCGGGGAATGAGGAGCATGGACCTCTCCGCAAACGCCTTCTACTTGTGATGGATTTAATTATCAAAATGACTAATTATTCCATTAAGGTAAGTGCTTGGCTATGTGATACTTGCAAAATTTTATATATATATAAACCCTTTGCGGCCCATTGGGAGACTAAGATAGATCTATTTCGGCCTTATAAGGCCTCGAAATAGATCTGTCTTAGTCTCCCAATGGCCTTATAAGGCCTCGAAATAGATCTATCTTAGTCTCCCAATGGGCAGCCAGAAGAAAAAAAGCCCAGAAACTAGTGAATTGTGATTTCACTGAACTAGGGCTGCATAATATCTTGGTTTATGTAGGTAGAACCTGGCTAAAGAGAAATACACATAAAACCTACAAAACCTACATACATATATATATATATACTTACATTGCACTACGTTGCCAAGAAATTAAGACATTGATCAAGTTTACTGGGCAGGATATAAGGTGGCATTTCAGCAGCCGTTGGCAGAAGAGACAAATTCAATTAAGGAGAAGTGAGGAGATGTCAACCATGTTAAGGGCGGAGGAGACGAAGGGAGGAAAAAGGAAGCTTGGCTGAGAAGGAGGTAGGGGGAGAAGAGATAAACACTTACCATGGCACCAACGCCGTAGGTGGCTGCTGGAGCAAGTGTGTGGTGGTAGGGGTCTGCAGCATAAAGTCGTCCGTAACTACAAAGGAAGCAAAGTTCTGGATTAATGTAATATATATATATCTATATATTATAATTAGAACTGCAGAAAAAACAATGGCTACCAATCTGCCTTCCATGGAGGACCTGTATACTGCAGGAGTCAAAAAGAGGGCTGTGAAAATATCTACAGACCCCTCACATCCTGGACATAAATTGTTTCAACTTCTACCCTCAAAACGACGCTATAGAGCACTGCACACCGGAACAACTAGACACAAGGACAGCTTTTCCCCCGAATGCCATCACTCTGCTAAACAAATAATTCACTCAACGCTGTCAAACTATTCACTAAGTCTGCATTACTATTAATCTTCTCATTGTTCCCACCACCCATCTCCTCCCACTTATAACTGTATGACTGTAATTTTATTGCTTGTATCTTTCCGATTTATATTTATATTGTTTCCTGATTGCTTATTTGTTCCCTATGACTATCATTAAGTGTTGTACCTTATGATTCTTGACGAATGTATCTTTTCTTTTATGTACACTGAGAGCATATGCACCAAAGACAAATTCCTTGTGTGTCCAATCACACTTGGCCAATAAAAAAATCTATTCTATTCTATTCTATTCTATTCTATTCTATTCTATTCTATTCTATTCTATTCTATTCTATTCTCTCTCTCTCTCTCTCTCTCTCTCTCTGTGTGTGTGTGTGTGTGTGTGTGTGTGTGTGTGTGTGTGTGTGTACAAAGAAATAAGGAAAAAGAAACAGCATCAACCCCAGAGGTTAGAGCCAGGAAGGAATTGCAAAATGAACACATTCAAACATTCCGTCCTACCCAATTACATTGGAAATGAGCTGACTCAGCACTTTATGGAATCAATCTCCTCTGGAGATTGCTAATAGCATTAGCAACAGCATTTGGACTTATATACTGCTTCATGGTGCTCTTAGAGCCCTCTCTAAGTGATTTATAGAGTCAGCCTATCGCCCTCAACAATCTGGGTCCTCCTTTTACCGACCTCAGAAGGATGGAAGGATGAGTCAACCTTGAGCCGGTCAGGATTGAATTCCTGCCTGTGGGCAGAGACAGCCTGCGATACTGCACTTTAAAACCACTACACCATCACAGAAGGAAGGAAGGAAGGAAGGAAGGAAGGAAGGAAGGAAGGAAGGAACTGCCAAATTGCAGGCAGCCGGTAGCCAGGAAAAGTAACCTGCAGAACTGCATTCTAACCACTGTGCCACCGCGGATCTAATGAGGTCCGTATGAGGGGAATGTATGATTGGCTGGAGGAGATTAACCCTAAGCAGCCAACACGCAGGGCTGCAGGACAAAAACATTAAACATTTTCAATAGACGAGAAGAAAACATATGGCCAATGTTTCCTCTTCCTTTGAGGCAGTAGGAATCGCAGTGGTCTCTTCGATAGGGCATAGTTCAAGAATGCTCCCCTCTAGAAATTTCAAGGCACCTGGTATGAGTCTAGGACAGTGATAGCTAACCTTTTTGCCATCATGTGCCAGGAGTGGGGGTGGGGGGGTCACACGCACGCATGCCCACACTCATAATTCTATGTGCCCCGCCCCCACGCATGCGTGCATGACCCCCCCTCCCTCCCTCCTGGCACGTGATGGCCCGGTAGGCCCGTTTTTCTTTTCTTTCTTTTTTTTAATTTTTTATTGTAAACAAACATACACATACAGACATAAACATTTAAACAAACTAAACATAAACTAACTATACAATGAAATCAAGTCATCGAACTTGAACTTTGAAAATAGAGTTACTTCGGTAATTATATATCAATATATCTATATATATTGTCTTTCATCTTGTATCAATGTATATATAACGATATTTCATTTTATTTCCTTATTTTTGTATCATTGGGTGGTATTCTCTTATTTCGTGTCTTTTTTATCTAACCATTTGTACCATTCTTGCCAAATTAAGTAAAAGTCTGTATCTTCTTTTCCCTGTATTTCTTTGGTCAGTTTATCCATTTCTGCACATTCCATTATTTTTTGTATTATTTTTTCTTCTGGTGGCATGTTTTCCAATTTCCACATTTGTGCGAGGACGATTCTAGCTGCAGTTAGGATGTGTATTATCAAGTATTGTGTCTCTTTTTTATAGTCCTTTGTCAGTATACCTAATAGGTAAGTTTCCGGTCTGAGGGGTACTTTTTGGGCGGTAATTTCTTCCAGCTGACTTTGAATTGTTTTCCAAAATTTTTTGACTTTTGGGCATGACCACCACATGTGGTAGTAGGTCCCCTTCTGTATTTTACACTTCCAACAGTTCTGATTAGTATTGGGAAACATCCTTGCCAAGCGTGCAGGGGGGAGATGCCACCTATAAAACATCTTGTATGTATTTTCTTTGTAGGGCACGGACATTGTCAGTTTAGTATTTACTTTCCATATTTTTTCCCAATTTTCTGGGTTAATATTATATCCAAAGTTTTTAGCCCAAATAATCATACTTTCCTTCACCACTTCTTCTTCCAATTTGTATTTTAGTAGATAATTATATATTTTAGTTATTAATTTGTTGTCTGATTGCATTATAATTTTATCTAATTCATTTCTTTCTTTTTGGATTCCAAATTTTTCCATATCACTTTTATATCTTGATTTTATCTGTAAATACGGCCACCAATCAATATCCGTGCCCTGTTGTCTCAGTTCCTCTCTTGTTTTCATATCTCCCTCTGTGTTCAACAGTTCGTCATAGGTTTTCATCTTGTCTGTATCCATTGTGTTCGGGTAGATTGGGCCTCCATGGTTGATAGCCATCTTGGGATTTTGTCGTAGTGTTTTCTCCTTATTTCAGTCCAAATTTTTGCCAATGCTCCTCTGATATAATGTCTCCTGAAGTGTTCATGTTGTCTGGGCTTTTCCTCCCATAAAAATGCGTGCCAGCCTTTTGACAAGTCAAATCCTTCTAGTGCTAGTGTTCGTTTATCTTTGAGTGTCATCCAATCCTTAATCCAAGTTAAAGCTGTTGCAGTGTAATAAGTTTGCCAATCTGGTAGTCCCAGGCCACCCCTTTCTTTGGTGTCCTGCAGGTGTTTCAGTTTAATCCTGGCTCTTTTTCCTTGCCATATATACTTTAATGTCATTTTATCAAGGTCTTTGAAATATGATTTTCCTGGGTTTATTGGTATTGTTCTAAATAAATATAGTATTTTTGGTAGAATTGTCATTTTAATTGAAGCGATTTTGCCTAGTAGTGATAATTTCAATTTACTCCATGCCTCTAAGTCCTTCTGGATTTGTTTGGCCAATTTAATATAATTGTCTTCTTTGAGGGATGATACCTTATTGGTGAGCCAGATTCCTAAATATTTTATTTTTGTTGTTGTTTGTATTCCTAATGTCTCTTCTAATTCTTTCTCCTGGGTTTTTGTCAAATTTTTGGTTAGTAGTTTTGTTTTTTGTCTATTGATTTTCAATCCTGCCACTTCGCCATATTGATCTATCTTCCTTAGTAAATTCAGTCCTGATTGTTTTGGTCTTTCTAAAATGAATACTACGTCGTCCGCGAATGCTTGTAATTTATACTCCTGGTTTTTTGCTCTTCATCCTTTTATTTCATTGTCATTCCTAATTTCATTCAACAGTGGTTCCAATGCTAATATATATAATATAGGAGAGAGAGGACATCCTTGTCTCACTCCCTTGGATATTTTGAATTGGTCTGTTGTCTCTCCGTTTATCCATATTTTTGCAATTTGGTCTGAGTATATTGTTTTGATCGTATTTAAAAATTTGTCGCCGGTTCCCATTTTTTCTAATTGCAGTATTAAGAATCCCCAATTAAGATTGTCGAACGCCTTCTGTGCGTCAAGGAAGAGTAAGGCCATCTTTTCGTTCGATTTTTGCTCATAATATTCCAGTATATTGATTATTGTTCTTGTGTTCTTATTAATTTGCCTATTTGGAATGAATCCATTTTGATCCGGATGGATATAATTCACGATAATTCTCTTCATTCTCTGGGCCATGATTGATGTAAATAATTTATAATCTGCGTTTAGAAGTGATATAGGTCTGTAGTTTTTAGTTTGGGTGAGATCTGAGTCTTCTTTGGGTATCAGTGTAATGATTGTTTCAATCCATGATTTAGGAATTTTGGCTTCTAAGATTGCTTCATTCAGGACTTGTAATAAAATATCATCTATTGGCTGGTATTCGATTTTGTAAAATTCCGCTGGGATGCCGTCTGGACCTGGTGTTTTATTGTTGTTCAGCTTCTTCTTTGCTTCAATTAATTCTGACATCGATATTGGTCTGTTCAAGAGTTCTCTTTGAGTTTCCTTTATTTCTTGAATGTTGGATTTATTTATATACTCTTTTACTTTTTCCAATTGGATTTCTTCCTGTGCATATAGTTCCTGATAAAAATTTCTTACGATTCGCTTTTTTTCTTCATCCATGTGCTGCAATTGCCCTTGTTCGTCTTGTAGTTGGTGTATTAATTTTTTTTCCTTTTCTTTCTTTAGTTTATAGGCCAACCAACGTCCTGTTTTATTTGCAAATTCAAATTGGTTTTGTTTTGCCATTTTGATTTTCCTAGCTATTTCTGTTATTGTTATTAGGTTTATTTCATGTTTAATAAGATTTATTTTCCCCTTGATCTCTTTCTTGTCGGGTCTGTTCTGTAATTCTACTTCCTGTTTTCTGAGCTCAATCAATAAATTGTTTCTTCTTTGCTGTTTCTCTCTGTTTTTCTTCGCCTTAAATGAGATTGTTATCTTATGTATGCTTTTGTAGTGTCCCATAGGACTTGCAATGATGTTTGTTCCCTATTGTTTATTTGGAAGAATATCTCCATCTCTTTCTTTATCATCTCTATATATTCTTTATCTTTAATGATCTCTCTATCCATCATCCATCGTCCTCTTTTTGGCTGGCCTTTCCAGACTATTGTTATAGGACTGTGGTCCGCCCATACATTCGGTGTGATTTCAATTTCTTTTATGTTTTCTCTTAATTCTGCAGTCATCCAGGCCATGTCTAGT